CAGCCCTCCGACAGCCAGCAGCAGCCAAGCCTGGACACGTTGTGATCTGTCCACCATCATCTTGGAGAGGGATTCTGAGATCTTCCCAGCCCACCCCTCTTCCCAGATCAGCAACTGAGACCAGAGCCGGGCCACACACCTGTAATCCTAGTGCTCTAGGATTGAGATAGAAGAGTCAAAAGTTGTTCCCCAGCCTGGACAGTTTAATAGCTTAGTCAGACCCTGTCTCAAAATTAAAAAAAAAAAAATAGGGCTAGGAATATAGCTGTGCAAAGGCCCTGGGTTCAATTGCCAGTAACACACACAACGATAATATAACGATAATGATAATAATAAAAAGCCAGGTAAGTGCAGGTCCACAGGACATGCAGGTTGGGGTAGCCACCTGAGTTTAGGGAGGTTACTCCTGGCAGTACCACTCCCTCTGCACCCCAGTGAAGTCTGCGCTGTGGACAGGCTCTGCGCTTTCTGGCTAGGTGACCTTGGGTACTCGCTTAACCTCTCTGAGCCTCACCTCCTCACCTGTCAAGCTGGGGCAGTAGTAACTGCACTGAGCTCAGGCAGCGGAGGCACTCAGAGGACATACGGCTCCTGAGGAATGTTCCAGAACTGTTACACTGTTGGTTATACCCGTGCATGCTGTCGAAGCATGATGTCCTGGTTGGAAACCCAGCTGCCGCTGCTGAGTGGTACGACTCTGAGGGACCTGTGAGAGGTGAAGGCTCATGTCTGAGGTGCGGCCCCAGGACAGCAAAGCCAGGGACACAGCACTTTCCCTGCACCACGGAGCTGCTCCTCCTGGGGCTCACCCTCACCCTCACAGGGATAGCTGAGAGCAGGGGCTATGCCCACTCACAGGTGAGGAGATGAGGGTGCACAGCCAGTCCAGCCTCAGCCCCACGGCCCCTTGACCTCACACTCTGCTCATCTGGGAGACACCTTTGCTGCTGGGTATTGTGTGGGAACCAAATGAGGGGAGAGACTTGATTTTAGGGAAACAGGAGGTCAATTAGCCAGGTGTTCACCATTGAGAAGTGTTCTAAAAAGTGCTGCGGTGGGCGTGATGGTGACTGTGACAAAGCTGGAAATGTTAGGGACTGGGGATTTAGCTCAGCGGCATAAGCACCTGCCTTGCAAGCAGGCGGTCGTAAGTTCGATCCCCAGTACTGGTCACTGTGGTAGTGGTGTGTTATGCTGACTGTGAGGGTGTTGATGATGGTGGCCATGGTGATGATGTCAGTGACAGTGATGGTGGCTATGGTGATGGTGGTGGTCATGATAGTGGTCATGGTAGTGCAGTGATGGACAGAGCTGTGACTGCATATGGAAGCCAGAATAGTGGGAAGGTTTTCACAAGGCAACCAGAGATATATTTTCCAAAATTTCCCTTTGTCTTGTAAAGGAAGACTAATTGTTCTTTATGTCCTCACTAAATCAAATTTAAAACTTTATCATCTTTGTGTTGGTTTACAGTCTCTACCCACACTGCTTAAATTGTATTGGTCCATAAAAACCCATCACTTAGGAACTCCCAGCTTCCTGACTCAGCATGGAAATCATTCCCTTTCCAAATGTCTTTTGCCTCTGATAAACACACGCACAAACATATGCACCTGTGTGTTCCACTATACCCTATCCTGTCTGCCCCTGGGCTCTGGGCCATCTGGCCCATTGAGAGACCTGACCCGGTCAGCTCTCAGTGCCCAGCAGTTTCCTAGACAACAAGCACAGAGCTGCCATGTGGGCATCTGAGCTCCAGAGGCAATTAAGAGTAATACTAGCAATTAACAGCCATGTGGTCCTTCACTGGCTTTGTAAGCCACTCTGCTTAACCCCACAAAGAGGTTCAAGTCTCATTTGTCCCTCCAGGGCCTGGCACATTGGTGGCCCCTACACAGATGTCCTAGGGCTAGCCTGGCAATTGTATGGCCAACCATGTTTTTCCTCCAGCTATCTGACTTAGCCCAAGAAGGTGAATGTACTGGGCTCCTTCCTTACCCATCGTGGCACCCTGAGATTTATCACTGGAGGTCCCCTCCCAACATTTCCTCTGGGGACAGGGTGAGACTTTTAGGGACCTAGTGAATGATGGCTGCAATGGGCCACTTCCACATGAGTGCACCCAGGAAGGCATACCTGCCCACGCCTGGTCCAGATGCTAAGAATAGGGAAAGGGTTCACCACTTGCCTGGACTAGTGCATGCTCTGGTGACCACTCAGTGTTCTCTGCTTACTCAGATGAGGGGTAGAGGGTTGTTTTGGTCTCCTGTGCAATGGGCCCTTTAGTCCAGGTCAGCAAGCCTTGACTGCATGTCTTCTCAGAATTATGCAGCAGATCTGTTAGTCTGTTTTCTGTCACTGTAAGTAAATACCACAGGCAAGATAATTCATGAACAATAAAGGTTTATTCAGCTCACAGTTCTGGAGATTCAAGATCAAGAAGCTGCATCTGGTAAAGATCTCCTTGCTAATGGGAACTCTGCAGTATCTCAAGGTGGTGCAGGACATCACGTGATGAGAGAGCAAGTATGCCAGCTCAGGTCTCCTTGTTTTTATTAAGTCATCTGTCCCATCACTGGGGCCTTACCCTCATTGACCTCATCTAATCAGAACAGCCTCCCACAGGCACCTCCTACAGGTGCCATCAACCTGTGACTGTGGGGATTGAATTTCACTGAGTTGTGGAGGAGACACATACCCAGATCAGAGGAAAATAAGGTTAAGTCCCACCCTATGGCAGTGCGAACAGCACAGGAGCATGGGGAGCCTGTCCCAAGCACCAGGTCACTTTGGTCTGGGAGACAGGAGATGAGCTGTGGCATCCATGTGCCTGCCAGGGTACTGATCCTGACCCTACCAGGGCACATGGCTCTGTCTTCATGGCCCCAGCTATTGCCATACATAAAATGGATCCAGTTGTGTCACCTCCCTTTACGTGCCAGATGGCCACAGATCAGATGTGGAGGAAGGCCACTGTGTTAAAACAGAGATGAGAACACATCCGGGTGTGAAAGGCCTGAGCAGACAGACAGCACATTATCTATTTTTAAGTCAATGATCAAACAATTTGTACCTCCGTGTGCTCCTCGGTATACAATGCAACAAAATGACTGTACTATTGGCAATTTCACTTTGGGCAGCTATTTACTGTATAACGAATTACATTTCTTAAAAATTTAAATTACTTGTTTTGTTTGTGAAGTGTCACTGCTTTTGACTGGCTTTGGAGAAAGACATTTCAGTAATTGTCAAAGCATTTTTGTTGAAGACCTTCATGCTGTGTTACTTCAATACCAGTGCAAGTAGCAGCTGATTAGTGATGTCGTGTATACAGGCAGGTGTTTAAAATAGTCATATGCATTAAGTTTGGAGTTACATGAGATGGTTAGGGTAACCCAAGTCCCAAGCCAGGCAGCATTGATGCAGTGGCAGTGCAAAGAGGTCACAGTACAGTGTGAGTACCCTGCCCTGGGTAGGCATGGCAGTTAAATGACAGGGTACGCAAGTAGTGCTGACGTCAGGCCTGATAACACAGAAGTGCTTAATAACTTTCAGCAATAGTGGTGACAATGAAGATGACACGGCTGATGAAGAACTCGTAAGTGTGTCATCATCAGGGAAGTGACTCGCAAGGCATGGAGAGGCAGGTGGGAGTTACTTCCAGAGGACTCCAGTAGCCCTGCCTGTTAGTCAAAGCAAGGTTAACTGCTGTAATAGAAATCCAAAATGCAGTCCTACACCAGTAGGCGGTTAACTCTCACTCACGGAACCACCTGAGGCCTTTTGATTCTAATCACAGGCCCCTCCAAACCTCCCAGCCTGAGTTTTGTGCTAGTAGAAACAGGAAAGGAGGAAGAAGAGCTCCTATAAGAGCCTGGGCTTGAACACACTCCCCCACCCCTAAACACATACCCCTTCCTACTCACATCCCATTGGTAGAAACTAGTCACCTGACCACACCCTGGTGCAAGGGTAGCTGGGAAATGCAGTCCTGGGCTCACTATCAGCCTCTTTCAGCCCCAGTGGCAACTCTGCACTTCATAGGGAGGAAGCTACCTCTTACCTTAGCTACCTCTGGTCATGAAAAGAGCCAAGCCTTTCCCAGTGGACTTGTGTTCACCTTTGAACTGCAAATGTGTGTTTTGGGCTTCCAGTGAGAATCGCATTTACCTTGGAACACAGGATAGAAGAGACCAACAACAGAGAGGCTTACAGGAATTAAAATGTGATTTCAAGCCATGTTCCTGAAACCAGTAGCTTTCTGAAATTTCTGCAGGACTTAGGAAGGAGATGGTGTGGGAAATTTTATTTGAGAAGAAAATATCTAAACTATGTATTGTGAGCCGCTATATTTTTCCTGTTTGTGTTGTCCCCTCCTCCAGCCCTGAGCTATCTATTAAATCTAATTACATCGCTCATATTATCTCCCATGAAATTTACATCTAAATCTGCTGAGTAAGGGCAGCAAGCAGAGGATTTAATTAGGAAAGTTAATCATGTTTGCTTACTGCCTTTTTTTTTTAAGGTTAGGAGAAAGCAACTGTTATCTGGGAAATAATAATAAATGTATTTTCTTCCTCAAACACACTCATCTGCAGGTTCTCAGTTTTGCTAGGAGGCTTGGAGTATCACTTTGAGGATGCTATTCTAGAAGATTCCATGTACAGTCAGCTGTCACATCACAGCTTGAAGGACTGTGGCCCCTTCTGCTCTGCAGTTTCCCCCCTGCCTCCCTTCTGTAGCCAGGACTCTGCCTCCATTTGAAACGGAGCTCTTTGATTCTCCAAGGATCAGCACCAGTGTTCTTGCACATTCCCCACATTTTCAAAGTCAGGCCACAGACTCGGGGCCTCATCTTTTCCCCGGATCTTTTCCCAGGAGAACAGATCTCATGCTTTGTGGGGCAAATGGATGAGAGCCCAACCAGCCTTCTGTGAGTTTGCTATTCAGGGACCATGACTTTTCTAAACAATGTTTTCTTTTTCTGTCTGTGCACACAGAAACCCGCGCAGACCGCAGCAAGAAGCTCTTCAGACACTATACTGTGGGCTCCTACGACAGCCTCGATGCATCCGGGTAAGATGCATTTTCTTCCTTGCCATAACTCTGCTGGTTCTATGTGCGTGTGTGCCATGGACACCCTGGGCCATCTCATGTGGCGCTCTCCAACCCCTTTGGTTTTGTTTGCTTGTGTTCACAGCACTGGGATCATGGGAGCCACTGACTTCCTGTGCAGCCCCGTAGTTGGGGTTGAGCTGCTGCACAATTGGGGGACCCAGGAGAGGCAGGCACCTGTCCGGGGGAAGAGAACACAGTCCCATAACGGGGGTGTAGCAGGTGTGGTGATGCTCCCAGGGGTGCAGTTAAGATGTCCGAATTTCCATTTCACCTCTGTTTCCTGTGCTGTCTACTATTGCTTCTGCGGAGCTGGAGTTTGTATTTGATGGTGTGGCTGCCTGGGTGAGAGAGATTTTTCCACAAAAACTGAACTGCAATAGCAAGGGTAGCAAAGACCTCCTCAGTCTATGTCCTTTCTCTCTGGGACTGTGGGAGAGGCCAACACCAGGGTAGGCCCCTTTTCACACTGGATGTCATAAACAGCTGGATGTGCGGTACCTTTTGTGGCCACTCATCCACTTGTCTCATTAGCTTCTCTACCTCTGAGTGTCCCCAGCAAGAAATGTCTTTGTCCTTTGTTTCCCTTGCAAGCCACAAGTCTCCCTGCATCAGCATCGATCTTAACTGGGGCCACAAGGTGAGGCTTGGCAGCAGGGGGTCTTGAGGAGTCAGCAGGTGAGGCAGGAAGGGGAAGGACACCCATAGGTGACTGCTGCTGGGAGCGTCTGCCCCTGACCCGTGGGTCTTTGGAGAGCCTCGCTCCCCCGCCTCCACCCCACAATCAGATACCTCCAGAGAGGACCTGCCTGTGGAATCAGGTCACCCTTCCCTGATTGCTTCCAAATCCCGGGGCTATGGCGAACACTCAGCTCTTCCCATAGTCCCATCTGCATGCCAAGGGGCTCGACCTTAGTCTGTTTTTTTTATTTTTATTTTTTGAGACAAGCATTACATAACATAAAATGTATGAAGTACAAGATTCACTGGTGTTTAGCATGTTGGTGGTGGTATGTGACAACCACCTCTGTCTGGTTCCAAAAACATTATCTTCACCCCAAGAGAAAGCCCTAAGCCCATGAGCAGTCACCCCCACCTTCCTCCCTGTGGCCCTTGGCAGCCCCCACCTGTCCGCTTTCTGTCTGTATGGATTTGTCTGTCCTGGGTGGGATTTTTACAATGCGGAAGCTCTGCTGCCAGCTTCTGTCACTGAGTACAACATCCCCAGCATGCATCCGCGGTGCAGGGTGTATCCAGCTTTGTTCTCAGCACCCACAGTGTTTCTGTTGTGGTAAAATAGAACATTCAGTTTCTCACCTGAACTGTGTATAAGTGCACAGTTCCGGGTTAAGTGCATTCAGCACCATCCACCTCCAGAACTTCCTGTGAAACCCGTCCCCATTGAACACAGACTCCCACCTCACTCCCCAGCCCTGGCTTCCCCATCCTGCTTTCTGTCTCTGGACATAGCACTTGCCATATCGTGGCTGAGTTAACTGTCCCTGAGTATGATGTCATCAAGGGTTCTCCATGCTGTAGTGTGAGCCAGAATGTTCTTCCTTCTCAAGGCCGGGTGACAATCCTATTTCTTTATTCATTCATCTCGTGTCCCCCACTTGGATGTTGTTAGTGACACTGTTGTGGACTTTGCTCCTATGGTTTGACCATGTTTTCAGTTGTGTGGGCATTTACCAGGGGGTAGGATTGCTGGTCAGATTTGGTGCTAATGCCAACCTCTTCTTCCACCTCTGTCATAACACAGTATGCTGTGTCAGGAGTACCATGCCTACCTAGGGCGGCTGGGGTCCATTCCGGGGGGAAAGTGTGGATGCTCCAGGTCTTGTTCCACTGACCCTACTTTTTATGCCATGTTAGGGATGGAAGCCAGGGCCTTGCACATCCTAGGTAAGTGTTCTACCATAGAGCTCCCATGGCTCACTTTTTGTTTTTGGTACTGGGGATCGAACTCATGACCTTGTACTTACCAGGCAAGTGCTTAAGCTACTGAGCTAAATCCCCGGCCCAAATGGCTCGCTTTTTTACCTTAACATGTTCACAACAGGGCTATAATTCATACATCTCACTGACGAACAACTTGAACCATCATTGGTATGTGCCTGGCTGCACTATGAATGAGTGTACCACTTCTACCAGCAGTGGTATAAGCCACTGATGGGACAGTCACATATGTACTGTTCGTGGTTCAGGTTGGTGGGAACATGTTAAAGTCTTGATGCAATCATACCCTGCTATGAGCATAGTCCCAAAAAGATTCAGGGGTCAGCAGCCACCAGGGCCAGATGCCTGCTGCTCCCACAGAAGACATCAGTCACAGTGGGCCTGGAGTATAGTCACAGCTGGGGGTGGAGAGGCTTCAACCCATACTCCCATCCAGCAAGGAGATCTTGGCAAAGCCAGCATCCACAGTGACCAGGGCTCAGGGACACCCAGGAGAGCCATCACTAAGGCTGCTTGGATAGCTTGGCAGACAAGGAGCAGGGTCGAAGTGAAAAGAGCCCCTTAATTAAAGCTGGAAGGGACCAGGCAATGGATGTCCTCAGGCAGTGGCTTTTGCATAGCCATCTTCCTACAAGGTCACTTGTCTTTAGGAAAGAGCAATGGACAGCCTGTCTTGCTGTCTGTGAGACTGGGTGTGCACTCATGCATGAAGGTACATGTGCACATCTTCATGAGGGTAGATGTGCATGCACACTTGTCAGTTGAATCAAGCGGCTTCACACTGAGGGCCCTTTTCCTGTGAAGGACAGTGGGAGCACCCAACTTGAATGACCTGGGGAAAGGAAGATGGCAGAGCCAGCTGTCTGGGGTCTCATAGCAGAGAAATGTCACATGATTAACAGCAGGCCCAGAGCACATGAGGCACAGGCTGCAAGTTAGCCAACTGAGGACAAGTGGGACACTGTAGCTGTTTAGTGACAGAGTGGCTACCTGTGACACAAGCTCCCCACCACTGAAGAGAGTCAAGCAGGCTGAGTACTCTCATTCCAGAAGGTCACAGAAGGTTGGACCAGGTGACCGCTGAGATCTCTGTCCCTTCTGCATCCTTGCTTTTAGTATCCAGATGAAGGCTTTGGTTTTATGCCCATTCTGAAGACCCACTCTGTGCCAGGAGGTGGAACCACAGAGAAGAGGGCCATCTGGTCACACCAGGGTCAGCTGGTAGCTTTTAAACAAGAGGTAGACTAGAATTCAGGTGAGCCCTGACCTCCCATGGTAGAGGGTCAGATGAGCTGTGGGTTTCTTGTGACCTGACATTATAGTGAGAGAAACTAGGGTCACACCCATGTCATTTATTCATCTTCCTGTGCATCTGCCACCATGCCCTGGTCACAGTACTGATGATGGCCAAGCTCATGACCCTGTACAGGACCAAGCTCATGACCCTTATATCTATTTCATAGGACAGTGCTGTTGGAAAGGGAAAGCCAAGGAATGAAGCTCGCTCTTTACCTTACAAGCAGTAAGCCTGGTCACCAAGGCCCTTGTCCTTTGAGGCCACAATATCACTGCCTAGGACAGGCCTGAGATAGAGAGAGAAACAGCAGGATGGGTTTCCCTGTGGGGACCACTTTCTGCAGAGCTGCTCTGGAAGTGTCCTTGGGAGAGAGAGAAGTTGCTCCCTTGGTGAATGTGCAGCCATTTGAGCCTCCCTGTGAAGATGGCAGCATGACCTCCAGGGCCTCCTTCACTGGCACCAGCAGCCTGGCCTTGGCCAGACTGTGACCGTGACAGGGCCCTGGAGTTTGGGCAGTGTAGGCATTTATGGGCCACAGCTAGCTGGCTCGGGAGAGGAAGAAGCTGGCCATTGGCCCCTGATTGAGCAAGCAGAACATGTCTGGGGGTGGGCCTGCTGCAGTGCAACACAGAGCAGCCAGCAATCCGTTAGCCCACTTCAGAGCCCCTGCTAGAAATGGCCTAATGAGCAGCAGAGACCCAGGGCTTCACCAGCCAATTACCCGCTGTAAGCAGCAGGTCATGTCCAGGCAGGTGGCACATTGGCTGAGGCTGCCCCACTGCAGATACAAATGCAATTAGAGACAATTTAATAGGAAGCAAGACTCGATGAAGAAGTTGAGTCAGGTAGGAATTTCCTCCCCTTCCCACTCTTCTTATGCCAGAAAGTTTGCTCAGGGGCTTGGCAATGAAGAGCCAGATGGCTGAGGCTGTCCATCTAGTCGCTCCAGTTCCTTCCCTCTATCTGCCTAGAGTCACATGAGAGTGGCTGGGAGGACAGGCAGTGATGATCAGGTTAGACAGCAGAGGTCCTGGTGCCACTGCTGTACATTGGCACTGTGGACATATCTAAAGACAGGATGGCACTCGGAATTTTCACTCTTCTTTAATCAGGTCCCAGGTTCATCAGCATGGAACAGCCAGGAAGAGGCTACCAGGGTAGAGGCAGACAGGAAGACCTCATGGTCTCACTTAAGGCTGAACAGGCTCCATCTCTCCACCCTCTCATCTGCCCGTTTCTCTGTACATCCACCCCTCTGTCCACTTACCCCTCATCCATCCACCCATTGGTCCTCATCCACCATCCGGGCAGCCATCTATCCACTCATCCATCTGTTAGTGTCTATCTGTCTATCTTCTATGCAGCCATCCATCTACTCATCTATTCACCCATCCACTCATTCATCTGCCTAACTCTCCATCCACCCCTCCATCTATCCAGTCATCCGCTTAGTCAAACTCTATCCAACCATTCATCCAACAATTTGTGCATCCATCCTTCCATCCACCTACCCATTCTACTCACTAAAAGAGTGTTTATCGAGACGTCATTACTCTGGGAATTAAAGGCACAGAGATAAATAAGACAAGTATAGTGTTTGACTTCATGTAGATTAAAATTTTATTAGTGAAGATAAGCAATAAATTTTACATATAAACAAATCAAACATTTGTACTGTATGATTAAATCCATGAAGCAAATTAGC